GCCTAAGAGTAAACTTATTAATAGCTCTATTACGATACGTAGATCGGTCGTATTCGGTCCTTATCGTGCCTCTGCCCGGCTTAACGACTTTTCCTTTATTCCTAGGACTATTTATAGGCTTATCTTAACTAGAGTCTTAGCTATAAAGGACTAGAAATCGGCCTACGTAAAGATATCCTAGGAGACACGGATCGTAGTCGCGGGGAATTAGCGAATTAGTCGGCCGCGGGCGCTAAAGACGAACGAGTTAATTCGTAATAGTTCGAAGAGCTCGAATAACATAGAGCCTTTAACCTAGTAAATAAGAACTCCTACGTTCTAAGCCTTAACGTAAAATAAAGTAATAACTTCTAAATATCTAAGTTAGTATTAAGAAGTCTATATATAGGGATAATATAATATAGGCTAAAAGAGATACCGAAGGAGGCAATACGCTATAAGGTCTCTAGCACGCTATTCACTTATAAATATCCTTGCGTCTCTCTTACCGTTCGTATATTCTCTATTATAGAAATAGCAGCTTTAGCAGCCGTCTTATACTTAGCGTCTGCCTCGTCTAGAAACCGCCGCAAAGAGTCTAGTATAAAGTCAATTAAGATTGACTCGTTACTACTAGAGCTATTATAGCTATCGGGAAGCTTAGAAGGCAGAAAGAGGTAATAAAAGAGAAAGTCGAGCGACTCCTTGGATAATTCTGCGTTGTCTATAATAAGCAGAGCAAGCGCCGAAGGTTACTTGCTAGTAAAGTCGGACATTGCAAATTCCCCGCCGGCCACTACAGCCTTCTGCTTTAGGCAAGCCTTTCCCCTTTTAGCTCGTCGCTGCATCCCGAATCGCTATTAAAACACCCACACTCCCTTACTGTGACGGGGACGAGGGCACAACACCAACAGCACGCGCAGCAGCAAGGCCACCACTACTTTCTCTCGTATCGTCTCTTGTAGTCTCAGATCATTTAATCACGGCAAGAAGGACCTCGTAGTGACATTCGTAGTCGGCTTGTGGTGTTTCCGCGTGATCGGCGGTCGGGCTCAAGGCTTCAAATCCGTGTAAGTCGTACCACACGCCACTTCGCTCGTCACGGAAAAAGGTGAGGGCCTGCAAAGAGGCAAGACTGCTTGTCCGCAACGCCGCTTGTTCTGATCAAATGACTGCCTGACCCTCGCCTCTTAAATACACGCGACCTTCTTGCTTTTTCTCGATTCTGTTACCTCCGGCCGTGGCCATCACCGGCATTGTCCTTCCCCTCCCAGCTCACTTGAGCCTGGCCACTTGGCCCGCTCACATTACCCTTCCCTCTCGAGTCTCCTTTTCTTTCCTCTCACCATTATCCCTATATACATATTACAAAGTGAAGCTATTTACACAAACAGGTACGACACGCTTCGAAGCAGCTATATGGGTAATCCGAGTACTTTCGGCCACATTTGACTTTATAGATAATGTAGTTCTACGTGGTGATTTCGCCGCCTTCTCGAGCCGCCTTACAGAACTGGTAAAAAACTCTACAAGTTATAACGGTAGCGTCTGACCATAGTCGCGAGGGGCGACGACCTTGGTCCAATCCTTGAACTGCTCCGTATAGCACTCTCGTAGTGCACTCATGTGCTTATTCCATTCCTCTTCCTTCGCCGCATCTCCTTTCCAGTTCTGTGCTTTGTCCTCAACGCACGTGGTAGAATTTCCAAGTCCAGGCCACTACTGATAAAGCTTTCCCACTCATCTTGGTGAACCTGAAACGGATCTTTGCAGCCTTCCATTCGTTAAACTGCTCAGCATAACAGGCGCGTGTCAACTCGTTCGTTTGCGTTTGCCATGTCCCTACTTTTGCCACGTCTCCTTGCCGGGCCTGCGCCTTGGCGCCGATGCACTCATCAGTCTTGCTCCAGTCGGATGCATTCCGTTGGCGGATGTACTTGTTCCACTCCTGTTGTTGAAATTTAAAAGGTTCCTGCTCGCCTTTTTCGTTCTTGTCGTCGCCGACGTTGGGCGGTAGCGTATTGCGAGGCTGCGACCTGCCCCGTAAATGTAATTTATCCTCTACCGGTTTGAACCAAGGAATGTAGTTCTGCGCCACTTTATGCAGGGCATCTCTGAAATGTGTTACGGGCCATGTAATACCGTCCTTGATAAGCGTCCCAAGGCTCTCTTTGTTGTTCTTGTATTTAACAAAATCTTCGTGGACCTTGTTTATATGCTCTCTTGTAGTGTCTTGGCTCTTTATAGAAGGGAAACCAACCGCGAAGAACGTCGTTGATGGTTGAGAGTGTTCGTTTGCTGATGGAAAGGGCAATTTCTTCTGCCTTTAATACCGAGCTTTCGTCCTTTTCGAGCACGTGTTTCACCTCATCCCATGTCCCATTGAAATTTGATCTAATCTCTGGCAGTCCTGGAACATAGTTTTCCACAATAATAAGCTCAACATTGGCCGTGTGCTCGCTTAAGATGCTGTGAATTTTAGTCACAGCTTCTAGCGGCCTATCCATGTCAATGGACTGCAAATCGCTCTTCATCTTAGCCACGTCCTTTTCTATGTCGTGGAGACCTGGAACGTTATCGGTTGAAACTTGGTGAAGAATAGATCCGCTGTCCTTAAGGACTGCAGCCCAGTTGTGGTGCTCAATGTCGGACCCAAGAGAGCTATTATTAATATGGTCAATGGCGGAATGCGCGACGCTGGTTAGCATCTGTGCTGCTTGCAGGTAGCTGGCAACTCTAATAAAATTGGGGTGCAACACCTCGGCTGGAGGTTCCGGCAATATCTTTGGAATCTCCTCTTCGGCTGGAGGGAGAACACGCCCGGCTCACTCTTGGCAATTCCGTCGTCGTTGGAACTTCCCGGCCGACTCTTGTTGGGCTCCTTGTCGGTGTTGGGACCACTCTTTCCCACGCAAAGTAGTCCGTCTCTCTTGCAGGGCTCATTCTTGGGTGTTTCATCGCCAGGCTCGCCCCCGGGGGCTTTCAGAATCTTTGACGGGGAAAACTTGAGGGGAAAGTTGCCTTCCCAGCCTACTGCGGCCCCGTTCTTGTCCATGAATGCCTTGACATTGTCCTGGGCTGACTGGCCCTGAGGGGGCTTGAGGGCTTTCCATTCTTCCGTTCCCCACACAGCCTCATCATCTTCGAATCCGGCTAGTTGTGGTTGGTTAAGAGCGGCAAACTGATCGAAAGCTGTCATACTCTGGTTTTTCTCAAAGAAACTGCTGTCAACGACCTGTTCCAGTTCTGCGTCGTCGGGTACGTCATGATTCGGCTTTAGCCATCCTCTAATTTGCTGCAGACGGATTCCCCCAACCGCCGCGACTTCTGCCTCCTCCGGGCTTAAACTGCGGTCTCCGAGAGACGTAGCCATGTCGACAAAATTTGGTGTTGCTTGGATTATAGACACAACCCCTTTACCTGGAGCCCTTAGCTTCACAAAGTCGTTGGCGACCTTGAACTTTGTAGTTGAGACGAATATGCTAGTATCATCAAAGGGCCATCTTGATGCATCAAGAGCTGGTATGCTTCAGAAGACGCTTGAGGATGAAACTTGGCCGGAATGCCACCAAGCTCCTGAATACGTGCTATTGTAAGGTCGCCGTCACCACGGGCAACCAATTTGATTGGTGTTTGCGCTGGCGGTTCAATTGGCGAGACTTGACAGCTACTGGGCCATGGTAGCAGACAAAGCGACGTGGATAGGACGACGGCAAGCCGGCGCCCGTACATAGTGAATGCTATAAGCTGGAAGTTTGTAAACGAGAGAATAATCTAGCGTAATGAGTACGAGTGCATTATGCAGCTCGGCATATTACATGATTATGGCAAGAAGGCGGCTGGTTTATAACTTTATACTCGGCTTGAATACAACATGTTACATGTAGATGGCCCAAAGATGGACAGCGCAGGCGGCGGAAGCCGTGTACGGCACCTAGAGGGCACTTCGTCCCATGGCACAGCCCTCCTAGTCAATGCAGACTTGCCGAGTCGCCAGATCAGCGCGATATACTAGGGGGGTCTGAAAGTCGACCCCCCGCGCTTGAACATCAAGCACGGGGGGTGCATTGACTAGGAAAAGGGTCACTGACTGGGAAACGGTAGGGTACATTAGCGCCAACCAAATTTATAAGCATAACATAGCCGCGCTATGTACTCAATTTCCTCGTTTAAGTGCATAACCTTCTTCCCAGCTTCCCTTAAGGGATTTCCGGTGATCTGCCGGATCGGACGATTCGCCGGATTTTGGTTCCTTGCATTCCGGTGAAGATTTGAGTGAAACTCCACGAAAATAATATGAAACAATCTCACATTAAAGCAGAAGCAAGAAAGATGCCTAGCAATTCCATTCAATCTACTTCGCAGTCATCAAGCCACCGTGGCCGCTTCCTGTGGCGTCCCGATCGCGCAAGTCCCCGCATTGCGACTACCATCTCCTGGTCGCGCTCGACAGCCAATGATGGCTTTTGGGACGTGAGGAAGTGGTCAATGCCGGCTTTGGATCTTTACGCAACTTAATGTTTGGCGATTTTGAGTGTTCCGGAGCTGTCGTCGGTTCTGGTGGAGCCGAAATGGCGACGACAATCTCGTCTCGAACGCCCGGACTCTTCTCGCGAGTCTGTGGAGCAACAGAGGGTCCGGATCCCATTTCCGACATTTTTTTCTGGTTCTTTCGCTTGAGCTCTTTCCGTATCTGCCTGTTTTTCTCCCGCTCTTGTTGTCTGGCTTCCTTTGCCTGACGTCTTTGCTCAGTTTTTGCCTCCCGCTGCCTTCTCTTCTCCAGAGCGAGAACTTTGAGGTTTGCCGCCTTTTGCTGTCGCTCAAACCTTTGTCGTTCTTTCTCCAAGGCCTCTTCTTGCTTCTGAGTCTCCATGGCTGCTCTTCAAGCGCTTGGGCCACTTTTGCAGGGCTAAATACCTGCGCCGAGTTAGGATCTACACGATCGAAAAGGTAATCCTTCAGAGCTTTACCGCGCATTCTGCGCTGCTTCGTGAAAGATAGTCTCCCGAAGTCCCTGATTCTCATATCGAAGCAATTCGTTCTGAGATTGGAGACTTTCGAGAGTACTTTGAGCTTCCGACTGTCTCGGCTAGCGTTTTTGAGGATCCATCGACTACCTTGTCGACAAGTCGGCGCAAATCCCGAGCAGTGGGCTGCTGCAGGGCGAGCGAGTCAACGGAGCTGTCGCCAGACTCAGACTCATCTTCTGTTTTCTCCGCGATCTGCGACAAAACGACTTCAGGGTCAAATGGGAGGAGTCCGGTCCGTTTCCAACCACTTGCGATGTTCTCCGCCGAGAAAGATGACCCGAATGCGTTCCAAAATAACGACCAGAACTCGCGTTTCGATAGCCCGATGAGTCCCTGTGTCTTTGCAGTCCACTGGATGAGCTGGTTGGTGTATGCGGTCGAAAGAGGGCCAAAGGGACACATCAGGGGCTGCAGCCTGTGCGTGGAATGCGGCGGAAACACGGCAACGATTATCCGATGCTGGTCACACCACTCCAGGAAGTCCATATTGACATGACTAGAGTGTCCGTCGGTAATCAGGAGGCGGTAATCCCGGCCGTTTCGCGCCTTTTCTTTCGTGAACCGGTCGAAAACACCAATGAGCCATTCCTTTCCAAGTTCATGGTTCGTCCAACCCGTTTCTGAGGTTGTGAAAACGCCGCTTGGTGCTCCGGATCAAACTCCGTGAGCCAGGAGTCCTGAACTTGCCCTGGCTTGCCTTGGTAGATGAGAAACGGGGTAGCGCTGTCAGGTCTTGACAGACACATGCCAGGAACGTGATCCATGATCTGTTGCCATCCTGCGCAGCACCGATCAATTTTCCTTGCTTCTTGGCACGAACAGAGAATACTCTCTTGGTACGATTGATGACGCCGAGGAGAAAGCCCTTTCGTCCACATTATACGTGTTGCAAGGCAGGATGTCGTATTTCTCGATTTTCTCGCCAATCTTGTACGATCAGCAATGAAGGGATGGACTTGGGCACCTACTTACAAGCTCATAGTAGGCTCTGTATCTAGAAGCATTGTCTGCTCTTTCTTGCGATATCAAAACCGTCGAACCAAGTGCAACCGAGCTCATCGCTGTTACGTCGGACGAAGCTATACGGCCAGTCCTTTCCGACCTCAATTTTGGCGATATCCTGGGCAAAACTTTTGATCATCGGCAGCGTAGGCGGAATCCCACGTGATGAAAGCTTGCGAATATACGCAACAAGATCCCTTTCTTGCTGTTTTGAGAGACGTGACTTATACAAACTGTCGGCATCCCGTCTTGACCTCTGTTTGCCTTGGTGTCGCCGTCGCAGGGTAGTCTCGTCGCAATTGAACTGACGCGCAGTCTTGGCATAGTTAACAGTGTCACACAGCTTCAGAAACTCAAGCGCTTCATCAATCGGGGCCATGGTGGTGGAGAAATTCAGGATTGAAGTGGAGACGTGAACTGGCGGTGAATCCGGCGAATCGCCCGATCCGGCAGATCACCGGGAAATCCCTTATAACGTAGAGTACCTAAATTTATAAGCGTTACGCGGCCACTTTTATATAGCTACGTTCGATTTCCAAGTCAGTGACCCTTTACCTAGTCAATGCACCCCGTGCTTAATGTGCACACGGGGTCGACTTAGACCCCCTATGCTTTTTCGTGTTTTAAGCTTAGTTTCGAAAAGTTAGCCGAAAAGACGTGATGCCTTTTTTTACTAGTTATTATGTGGACAGGCTCTTCACTGCAGTGAGGTTATTCGAACTGGTTCAATTGGTTATATCTTGTGTAACTAGGGAAACGTGTCCCATACAAACAAAAGACCTTCCTCCTGTGTCTCACCTCTTACTGCACGTGACTAGCGCGGTCGATTAGTTATACGTGCGCGATCGGTGCCTAGTGCACAGGTGGATCCAACACTGGAACCTCTTTCTAAATCGATGATCGCGCACTAATCAATCCACCAAAAACACACCAAACACAGCGAATTAAGATGAGATAGGAAAAACACGAACAAGAACACCAACAAACTCCTACCACGATGCATCACTATGTTGGATAGTGTGCTCTGACTGTAGCTTCCTCCCACACTGGGTGTGTTCTGCCACACGCCATCATGGGTCGCATTTCGAGCGCCGGATGCGCTAGCTGATTCCATCGGTCCCACGTTGAATATGGACACGAGGATCTCCTCGTTAATGTGAATGGAATAAAGAACGACGGTAAAGCAGAAGAAGGAAACGAAAAACCGATTAAATCTCGTCGAGAATTGTTGTGTTATTGCGATGAACGAATCCTTCCACCTCACGTTTAGCTGATTGTCGCTAATAAACTGCGTGAGGGCGCTGTTTGTGATGCCTTTGTCATAGCATCGGCAGGGTTATCTGCGCCGTTGACCCAACGGATTTCCGCAATATCCCTTGATTCATATGCCTGCCTCAGCGCCATGATATCTATCATGAGTCGCTTCTCTGTTGTGGTGCCAAGTTTGACGAGGCACTCATAGAGGCTATATGAATCTGTGCAAATGACGAGCGGGATTTGCTTCAGATCAAGGCGTTGTGCGATCGTATTGACCGTTTGCTTGATCACAAATGCGAGATCGAAGCCCGATGTCAATCCATAGATCTCTGATGCAAGAACGCTTCGAGTAACGCGCTTGCATTTAGTTGAGCTCCAATGAAGAATGTTTCCGCGGATGGAAAATGAATCGGTTGATTGCGCGGTCTCATTGGCGATGATAATCACAAAGCCGATTTGAGAGCTTAAATCCTTATTGTTGGCGAATGATCCATCGGTGAACACAAAGATCTTCGCGCTCTCGAGATCGATGGGTATGTAACATAGGCCACGGTCGGGATTGTTGATCTGCCATTCAATCCGCTTGTTCAAAGCCTTGAAGTCGGTATTAACGGGCTCTTGGGCTTGTGCCGCAACGGAACAATCGTATGTTGCTTCGTTGGCAAATCGAAGCGATATATGCCCCGGGCGCGTTGAGCAGCATAATCCTGATGCCTACTTGATGCCTGAAGATTGATCTCCTCGAGGTTTTGGGCTTGGCCCTTCTGCCTGACGATGACACAGCCATTTTGTATGGTCAGGCGGCTGCCGTTAAAGTCGCAGATGGAACCTTCTGGAGAATCTCTTTGGCTTGGCCTTAAAGCAGAGTTCTTTCTCCTCGATCTTGAGAAATGCATCTGTGCCAACAATGAATGTGTCATCCGTTTGCAAGGCCGCGATGCCAAACAGGTCCTTGTCGGCGATGTTGTTTGCCGTGATCAGAAGGCACGGGTCAAACGAAGAGGTTTCATATTAAGCTTGCGGCAGTGATGGTCGTGATATGTGTTGAACCAGTGGGCTCCTGCCTCTGCGATGCCATATAGCGGCTTCACGATTCGCAGGATTGTTCCTCTGGATATCTTCTTTGAGTTCTTGAGGAAGGGCTGCAAGGATGACACGGGCCAGCTTGGTCTGGGATTGTGTGTATGCCATCGTGATGTCTCTGATCATGATGAACATATCCCGTGTGCAGAGAAACGGTGCTAAGGTTAAGGCCACGCGTTGTGCGGGCCGGCTGATGGTAGGGCTTGTGTGAGGATCCCACGTTTCCCATCATCATTGTATCCTTGCACAACGAGGCGTGATTTCTCGTATGGCGTTGCAGTATTTCTTCCCTTAACCTCTCTGACCATTCGTGATTTGAAGACACGATATCCACCATGTTTATTCGCATCGAATTCTTCGGGTACAATGACCCCAGCGGCGAGGAGGTTCGTGAGCTCGAGTGTGTCGGAAGCTTCAAATGGGAAACCGGTGCTTGTGATCTTTCCTTCAGCTCGTAGCCGCTTGGTTAGGCCGAGATGTTCCATTTCTTTTCGAACAAGAAACGCATTAGCTTCATGATGAACGATAAATTGAACGGGTGAGCAAACAATAGTGGATTCTGATGTGCCATTTTGTGCAGCATCCTTCCTAGGTCGGCCACGCCTGCGCGGCCTCTTTGGCTCAGGGTATTCGAAAGGTTTGGGTTGGTCTTCTGTAGGAAGAGGAAGAGGTTGTTGAGTTGTGGGTGGAAGGGGAAGAGGGTTTTGAAGAGGATGTTGTTGATCGGATTGTGTTGAGGGAAGGAGTGATTGTTGTGTTGATGGGTCTGTGCGGCTAGGGCTAGGGTCGGGTTGCAACTGAGGAAGGAGCGATTCCGGGTGACGATAGTACGGTTGGACGCATGTACTGCGAAATTTCGCTGGTCCGTTGTCCAGGTCAACTGCGATTTCCGTATCCGTCACCTCGAGCACTTTATATGGGCCTTGCCATCCGTGCTTCTCGCGAAATACGCGAACTTCGCTTCCTAGCGCCAGGGATAGGGGCAGGCGCAACGCTGTATCAGGCCCATTACGCGTATTTAACGCGGTCTGAACCTTCCTCTGGGCGTTGATCTTCCTCAGCTCTGACATCGTTCGCCACACCGCCTTAGCTCTTGCCATTGCGGAAGGTGTAGGCGGCGAATCCATCGTCATTCGAGGCAGAGCACCGAAGACGAGGAGGGTTGAACGAGGCCATCCGGACCGGCTGTGTCGTTGACAGCCTTGAAAGCCATTTGAAGGACTTGATCAGGGCTCACGGTATCCTTCAGCTCTGCCTTTAATATATCATATGCTCTTCGGACGGGCACATGATACTTCTCAACCTTCCCAACAGCCCAATGTGCTTCCACAGGCACCTGATGACACGTTATTCCCATCAATTTCGCTTCTGCTTGGAACTCGGCAGCAGCGAAATTCGTGCCTGCGTCATGAGTGATCACATCGGGTGGTCCAAGGTATGTATCCATCCAACATTGTTTCAACGCGAGCCACGTTTCCTTGGCCGTCATGTTGGATAGGAATCTCCTGCCTGATAGGCAGTGGCTTGATCAACAACATGGAGGACTGGTCTGCCACCCAATGTCATGACATCAACGATGACTTCGTAATTGAAGTCACAATCATCCTTCAAGCTGAACTTGAACCTTCGTGGCGGGTCGGATTTCATCTGACAGTAGTGGCAGAACTTCTTGATCATTTCCAGAGCTTCGATTTCCACATCATGGCCAGCCGAATTCAGCAGCTTGTGCAGCCGATACACGGATGGATGACCAAAACGCGTGTGGAGGCGCCGCAATTCAGCCTCCGTGAGATATGCCACTGATGCCTCTTGTTTCCGCAAGAAGAACCACGCGTGACCCCATCTTCGAATCACTGGAACGCTCACACCATTGCCAACGAGCTCGTTCGTGACGTTATTTAAATATACGCCGAGCCGATCCATATCAGCCAGGCATAGGAGGAATGGCGTTGGCACGCTGACTATATGAAAATCAACCTCTCCCACTGGTGTGTTCAAGGTGATCACGCCAAGTGGTGTTTCCAATCTTCCTGCACCAAATCTAACTGGTTCGGGCTTGCGATCATCACGGAATTGGACTGGGGGCATCTCTCGTTGGAGAGCACGCAGTTGTTCGATTCCTCCTGTCGATATGCATGCCGCACCTGTGTCCGGCATGATTCCTGGAACGAGTCTTGAGAGTAACGATCTAGTATGAATTGTGTGGGTTCGTCACTGTTGAATAACTTGATGCCTACTGAGAGATCCGATGATGGAAAGCTTTCGCAGCAGCGTAGAACGATTCATAAGGGTCAGAGGAGTCAGAATCATCGGATTCCTCGGTGCTCGAGTCATCCTGATCCTGTGATTCCCTTCATAGTCAGCCAAGAACATAGCATACGAACGAGATTGACCGTGGAAGCCTCTCTCGTAGATACTTCTCTTGGCTGCTTTTCTCTCGTTTTCAGGATGTCTCGTTGAGAAACAACCTTCCTTGCCGCAAACGTAGCATTTCTTCTTCCAATTTGGCTGACGCCTTTGTGATTGACCTCTTGTTCCGCCGGAATTTCGCTGAAATTTGCGATCCACGAAGTGCTGATCATGTCCTCTATCCAGGTCTTGGGGATATTGGCCACTGGGTTGTTCAGATCGTTCATCTTGCATGGCAGATAGCGATGATCGAAGCTGTGATGCCAATCAAATGTAGGTGCGGGAGAGTATATCGCGAGTCGGAATTCAGGCACACCACGGCACGCCCTGAGCGTTGCATCGATCAGGCCACCTTCGCCGCCAGACTTATCCCCGAGTGCTCTCCTACAGAGCCGCAATTTCGTAAGAAGGGCCTGGAGGACCTCGTCAGATGACTTACCGGGCATCTCAGCCCGAAGTCGGCTGAAGGTGAGGTGCTCCAGTGGGTATGATACATCTTCTGGTTGATTTCGGTGTCAAAGTGCTCTTTCATCTTCTGATACATCTCAGCGAAGGTTAAATCAGTGCTGATTTCGTGTAGAAAGAAGGACTGAGCTTCGGCCAGAATCGAAGGGAAAACACCATGGAATT